ATAAAGTTATAACCGGTGATGACCAATAAAAAAATTTACAATGAAAAAATTAAAAATAGCAAGAAGTAAATTACATCGTACTAATTCCCAAAATTAGTAGATTTGGACTACATATGTTTAGTTAACGCATTTCAAAATTCAATAGAAACTTTTCAGCCTTTTATTTGCCTGTATCGAACTAAATTTTTTTTTTGATTAATCTGCATCTTTTAATTGAACTATTTTATATAATTTTAATCATTTTGCGTATTGTTAAATAACAATACAAATCTAATTAATTATGAGATATCTATTTTTCAGTTCCAAATTTTAGTCATATTGTTAATCTATTTAATCTAATATACTTATATAAACTATTACAATACATAATAATTATTTAAATAAATGGTGGATTTGGCGTCGCTACAGTGTTACACCAAATATGGTGGGACACTGTAGCAACACACTATAATAGTGTTGAATCTACAGTTCGATTGGAGCAAATAATTACACTACTTTAGTGCTATAGCGTCCGACTGGAGACGCCCTTAGGAGACTAAAACATCTTCCACGATTGGGATGAAGCATAACAGTGTTTTGTATAAGTTACCAATGGAACATGGAACCTGGTCAGTCAAGACTTGGATCTTAGAGTAATCAACCGGTCTTAAGTAATTAATCACTAGGTCTTCTAAATAACATATGTAAACAAAACAAAAGTATTGATTAGATAACACGTATGTTTTATAAAAAGATAATTCTCAAAAATACTACACTTTTAAGTTTTGTTCCATAAAATACCACTACTGTATATTGTAAAAATACCTGGTTTTCTAAAAGTACCACAAACATTCGATTGGATGTGAGTCTGTGTCTAAAAAGACAAAAGCTTTGATTATAGAGAAAAGATTATATGTACCTTAAAAATTTCAAGGATAACAAGACGTCCAGTAACACCAAAGACCGATCTAGACTCTGCAGTTTAGAGGAAAAGAAGATGTAAAATTCTTTGTTAACATTTTTCATTACATATCAAACAATTACCCATGCGGTTGTTGTTTTGAGTAGCATCCATTCTCGATCTTCACAAGCCAAATGAAATGAGACCCTAAACTAAACCTCAAGCTTTGCCTCATATTTGTTTAGATGCAATCAAAGAAGATCCTTCCCCTGCAAGTTCATATAAATATCTTTTTTTTGTAGTGCATGAAAAGACAACTAAGCTTTGTGGAGAAAATGCCTCAACAATGTAATCTATCACATAAATATCTGCTAAATTTTGTCTGATTCCAATTTCAAACCTTCTGAATTTATATCATTAAACAGAACAAAAATGTATACATCATTACCAATAACTAGAAAAGTAAAGCTGAAAATATGTGCAAAAACCTCTAAATCTTCCATTTCATCCTTTGCTATAGAATGGAGAAGATTCAATTTTTAGATTCCCTCTATCGTCTTTGATGAAAATCCAGTGGTGGAAGCCAATGCAGTAATTAAAAAATCTTGTCCATTGATATTAGTATCAATCGCTAATAAATCAAATCATGTACAACCACAAAATCTCTATTTTCCTATCGAAGATCAATCAAATCGCTGATCGAAATCGTCTTCACTCTCTACAATTCTCAACCTATGTTTTTCGTGGATCATACCGCGAACCCGCTAAACCGCACAAGGTTGGCCATTAACCCGTAAATCGTGATGGATAAATCCGTTAAACCCGCAAATCTATGGACATTTAAAAACGTGTCCATGCCATGTCCCGTGCGGTTCTATTTGGATCTGATCCGTGAATTGCGATCCGTATTGACGTTTCTATTCTGGTCGGAACTACGCAAATCATTACTACACGGATTATTCATTCTGAAATTTAAATATATGTATTAACCATTTTTTATATACTTTATCCTAGTCTTACGCATGACCTAACCTAATAATATATATAAAAATAAAGGGTAGAACATCTCCAACCCAAAACTTCATTTTAAGGAGAGCAAAACCTCAAAATGA